TCTCTCTCTCTCTCTCTCTCTCTCTCTCTCTCTCTCTCTCTCTCTCTCTCTTTCTCTCTCTTTCTCTCTCCATTACGTGGGTAATTCGCGAAAGGAATAAAACTCGATACGACGATCGACTCGAGGCGTTATGTGCGCCCTGAAATGAACAATTCAGCAGTGTAACAACCAACAATCTGTATTCCGCGATCAATCTTTTCGGACGTTTATTCCCGACACCAGCGAATGACCGCAGCGCGATCGATCGCAGCGACTTTCACGACACCCGGGGTATCGGTGCGAGCGCGCTAAAATAGCAGTTTTAATCGCGATGCCGGACAAACATTTACCCAAGACGTCGTCATTGTGCTGTTTCAGATACTGAGGGATATCCGGCAAGGTTTAATGCAGCTAGGACGAGACGGACGGGGTCAGCTCCCTGGGGGTAAGTACATCAAGGACTAACCTCCAGCTAGTTGTCGCCTCGTCTCCTTCACGACCTATAACCCGCCCTCCTCGCACCTATCCGGTCCTCACTTGCGCGTATGCGCGCACGTAGAGGAGGGCGCGCCCGTGTTCGTGCACGTTGAACAAAACGCGCACGTGCCAGCGCCGGTATGAGAATCGACTCCCAAATGCCTGACACCTCGTACGTAGCCGCTCACTCTCGCGAGACTCATTTCGAGCATTCGTTTCCTGATGGCTCCCCTCGTAGTCTTTTTCAAGAAATCTCGCTCCCCGTAGCCTCAGCAGCTTTTCGCGATAAAGTGGAAGCGCGCCGGAATGACACCTACGCCTCGCAAGAAGGGCGCTTGCAACGGAAAAGAGAAGAGAGCTCCCGTTGTGAGCTTTGCCCGTAGCTCGTGTCGGACGGCGAGAAAAGAACCGGAACGAAATCCGAACGGCGTGTGATATAAATCCAAATATCGCGATGGAAAAAGTCGCGCGAGGAAAGTTGTCTTAGCATTTTGAAATGTTTGTCGCTTGGATTATTGCGAAATATACAAAATAAGGTTATATAGAAATCTAACTGAAATTACCCGCCGTTGCTCGAGTTATCACAGAGTGTCAGGGATTGAAATCAAGGGATGGGTGGGTGGAGTGCCAGCTTTCATCATAGTCTGTATTTTCCGCAAGGTCCTAGAGAGTAACTATGCAAAATTTGGTCCAGATCGGTCAAAGGGTTTACAGGGAACAGACATTCTATTTCATATATATAGATAAGCGAATAAAATGTAGTTCTTGGAGAAAATATGAATTGCTGCTGAAAAGAAACGCGTGCTTGAAAAGATGATAACTGTGGAATTTGCGCGACGAGCACAATCGAAGATGAGATGTGAGAAATGCGATGCAGCTAATGTGTGTGATTTCGCACGTTTCAGCGTGAATGGAACATCCTACCGCAAGCTCCATGCTCTTTATTGTCGATTTATCACTACCGCGCTGCTTTTATTTCCTATTCACAAAGGCTGCTGTGGCGCGGCTGCGTCGTGAAGCCCCTCGTATACGTGAACTAATCTTGTTATTGTTAGCACCCGCCACCTCTATTTCCCAAACCCTCTTCGCCACTCCTGTCTTCCTTTATACGACAACGCACGCGCACACTCTTGTAATTCCTACGGCCAAAAGCGGATCTGAATTTTCAAGTCCGTCCCATACGATTTAACTCGGCGCGCGTAATCATCGACGTATATCTCGATATTTAACTGTACTACGCAACATCTGTTACATTTTCGTCGACTTTAACGTGCCGTTATGATGTAAAGAGCATTGCTTGTGTTTTCGACCGTTAACACGTCTGTGAATTAAAGGAGACAGAACGAAACGTTGATTCGCAGATGACACGTACATGTACGACGAGGACGCGCGATGCGGAGGTGCTGGTGGTTTAGGGCCCGGACCAGGCGGTCAACATTGGTACGACGAACCACCCTACGAGTCGGATCCCGAGGACTTTCTTATGGGGGCCAGCGGTGGCCCGGTGCCTACCGCAACTATTCAAAACGGAAGGTAACGTTACCGCGATTGACGATAAATTTCGATGACAAACTCGAATCCTCTCGATTATCATCGCAGATATTACTGTCGCGCGCAAGCACAAAGCTAAACATAACCAATTGGCCTCAATTTCCGATTTATCAAAATAACAACGAACGGTGCTGATTGTCACAATTGAGACTGATCGGGACGAGGATTGAGGATCGCGGAATTGCGTCGGGTCAGCATTAAAGGGAAAATACACGATCGATCTGCAGGGTATGCTTCACGCTGAACCTAAGACCGGAGAACCGGGGCGAAGGTGTGATCTCCCTTCGAACAGCCGGCGACATCAGCTTGCCGCGCGATCGTTCGAGGAAAGGTGCGACGTCGACGATGCGAGGTCTCATCGTACCTCAGGGTCACAATAATCCACCGACGATTATACCCCTAACACACTCGAGGGCTTCTCGTGAGAGCGGAGATTACGCGAGTAGCGACGTGCAGGTAAGTCCACCGCCGCGTCGAACAATGATCCGGATAGCCACCAGGCGCGGCACTTTGTAAACATTGTCGTTCTCAGACGAAAGTCTCCCCTGCCTCACTGCCTGCTACTATCGAGCTATACCGTTCGCTACCTGCACTTCGCAGATTAGCCGGTGTCGCACCGTGAGCGGCGGAACACTTATATTTAATTTAGGCTTTCTCCCGGCACGGCCGGGAAAATGGCCAAGCTCGTATAACGTTAGTAATCGGTAATCTCGATTGAGGCTGATGATCGAGCTCGCGAGGATCTCACGGTGTACTTTCGCAATTCTTCCACGCTCAAGTGGCAGGGTAACGCCACTGGGGCTGTGACTCGAAGGAACAGTCACGTGCCGTTCCGTCCTCGTGAGTTCCGCCGCTCGAGATGAACGAATTACCGAGTACACCCCCCGAGTAAGTAAGTCACGAAGCTCGTTAAGCCGCGGCACTAATATTATCGCGCACAGTAATATCAAACCGTCGAATCCAGTCCAGATAAGTCCCGTTAGATCGCAGCCCGTCACTCCGCAGTGAAATTACATTAGTCATTGCGTTGCGATAAGTACCACATAGGGAGAGGGAGGGGGAGAGAAAGAGAGTGAGACAGAGAACACCGTTCTATCGGGCTGCATCTCAGCCCTTCGCCCAAGTCCGGTTTCCCTCGTGAGAAGTACTACCTACACCGTAGCCCACTTGGGTCCCATGGGCGTTCGTTCGTTCGTCCATGGGAGGGGGACGCCCACCTTCTCTCACGGGCGTACGTCACGGCGTGATTTATTTAATTTTGGGGCTGCAGAGTGTGAGCTCGAGACTGTCGACTGTGTCGGTGGACACGAGTAGGAGCGACCAGCCACCCCCGGTGGCGGGCGGTCGCCATCCCGCCGACCGGCCGGAGCACCACCACGAGCACCGTCACAACCACCGCCACCATCATCACGAACATCACCACTCGGTCTCACCCCGACCCAATCAGCGTCACCCCGCCACCACTAGCACGACCGTTACCACCAACACCGTCGACGCAACGTCACCGCAAAGCAACGCGCAACGTCGTCCGGTTCCCAGATATGTTCGTATTTGCGAATCTATGGATTACGTAGATCCCGCCCTATCACACCCCCTTATCTTGCCGCCGCCCCCCTCCCCTCGCCCTCCCCGCCGCAGAGAACACCGCCAGTTTCCATACTACTAACCCACTTGTACGCTTCTCCACGCGTTACGCGTACGTGCGCCCAGTCCATTACGTATGTATACCGGTCGTACAAACATCGCGGGCGTCTTCGGACCAGGAAACGGCAGATCCCGGCAGATTAGATGCATACACGAGCCCACGTACGCTGGTATACACGTATGTATGTGCCGGCGCACTCTCGTGAATATGCATTTTTCGTCCCGCTTACGGGAGAACGCACGGTCGCGCGACTTCCGAGGCTCTCTCACGGAGGAACTGCGTTACAGTTAGCGTTCACCAACCAGACGCGAATCCAGCCGAGTGCGGCTGCCAAGTTTGAGAGAAGGAAAGAGGGAGAGGCAAAGAGAGAGAGAGAAAGAGAGATAGAGAAACGGCCGTTTCTCCGGTCCGTTTCCGGTATGTTGGCTCAGTGAATCGAGGCGCGAGAGCCACTCGATTCATCCGTCGGCCGGACAATAGGATCCCGTGATTTGCGGATTGTTTGCAAGGTATCAAACGCGACGCGGTCGGCACGGCGATTACGATGAAATAACGACGGATTTACGTTAGTAGGTCGCTTCCTCTTCGCCTGCCGAGCAAACGTTATCCTTCGCCAATTTTGAAGACTTAATAACGATCGGGCTGTCGTTTCCGTGATTGAACGTCGTTTATTCGGAATTCGTTTAAACCAATGCGAGAAATCACGCTTCTCCAACTCGTTGACGTCCGATGACCAGAAGGTTATATGTAATGAACATTTGAGGCCGGCTCCTGGGTTCTAACCGTTCATGATTAATGACGTCAGAAGCGGGGAAATACCCGAAAGGGATATACCCGAAATTCTTGCGGAATACAAAAAGGTTATATTTTTGAAATTTTTGAAAGATTATTTTCGAAACAAAAGATTATATTTTTTTGCAAAGTATTCCTTTCCTTTAACAAGCAATAAGTATCCTTAAAATTAACGTGATCAAATCAGGAGGGAAGATTGCATGTCGCATTAATTTTATGGTAATTTATTGATTGTTGGAACGAAAGAAAAATTCTCGGAATATTTTGCAGGTATGCTCAATCGATCCCAAGAGCCATTTTGTGGACATACCCTTTTATTGCAGCGTATTTCGCAAGAATTTTAGGCATACATTTTCTCGCTTCTGACGTCATCGGTCGGGAGTTCCGCAGCGAGAGACCAAGAGCCTTAATGTCTATCTAGATAGACATAAGAAATTACGAGACGGTAGACGAAGATGTATGTAATTTTCCAAAAATACCACGCGACTTTTCACGCAACCTCGCTGGCAGCAGACCGTGTGTATAATTCTGGAAACATTGTAGAAAGCAGAGAGCGGAGAAAGTCCGAGGGTGTCGCGAAAGATCGATACTTAAAGAATTCGCGCGGCACGACCTCGTTTACGCGCTTTAACGCATATCTACGTAGTCGATTTATCTCTTAACTGCAGTTCAATCGTGATAGCGGAGCGTACTACGCCATTATAATAATCGGGCTTGATGTTCGAGCGAAAAGCCGAGAACTTCATAATCTGATCATAGCGCCAGAATAAGGTGCCTCATTTCCTGCTCTGACGCCCACACAGCACTGACAGCCTCTATATGTATAAATAATACTCACACACTGACACGCCAATATTAAGTATATCACTAACCCATCTAGACCGGCGTGGCCTGCATATGCTACTTATTTCTCATGTAACACGCAACTCCCTCTTCTACTAATATGTATATATCGAGTATAATGTGGTTAACGTGATGTAACACTTGTACATTTAACCCCCTAACTCGTATACATTTGCTGCTACTCTAGCTTTTTCCCGCGCGAGGGCTATCTCGAGAAAGTTTTACAAACGTCGCAACCAATTAATGAATAATTTGAACGATTATCAAACACTTCAAGGGGAACTCTTGATACTAAAACATAAGAAACATAAGAAACATTTCGACTTTGTAGTAAACATCTTATGATTCATTTGATTTCCTAATTATTTTGAAGTTATGAAACTGAGAAACGAATGAGAAACGATATGTATATGTTACATATATTCGGTAATATCGTTATAATTTGAGCCAAGAGAGAAATATGCAAAATTGCACACTTTCGTGTAACAATTGTAACAATTAAGTATTCCAAATAAAAGGAATGTGTCTATTTCTGTGGGCGTTATAAATTCTGAAGAGTCTCATCGTGATAGCCCTCGCATTTGCACGTACGGTAAAACAATTTTGAGATTAGGTATTGTGCCGTCATACTTCTGTGCCTCCCACCCGCTGTCTACTACTGGTGGCAATGTCGCAAATTCGGTATTACCTGACGATACCCGTAACCATCACTCTCATTTAAAAGCATCCGCGCGCTATTAGACCCATCATAGTGTCCGCTTTTCCCTTCATTGCGCCATTGGAATCGTCTCTGCGAATGTTAACGTTTTAGAGCCGGAGTAGCGGCGAGGAGGGATTGTCGCCGAGCCAGAGCAGCGACTACGAGGATCAAGAAGAACTCGAGAACCAACACTCGGCCGCCGTGCACACAGTACGTGACATATGAGAACGTTGCTCCGTCGAGAGAACGCTCAGTTTCTATTTTACCTATTCGCGCTGTTCCTCTCTTGGCCGTTTCCTGCGCGCATGCACGTATGCATGGCAGCATCTCGATCACTATTACGCGAGAAACACGAGCAAACGATGCGATGTCCAAACAACCGAGAAAAATACAGCCGCGCATCATCCCGACGATTAGTAGAATCGTGAAATATCGTTTCTCCTTTCTCTCGTTCCTACGTTTGTTCTGCGAAGGTAAATATCTTCCCAAACTTTGCGTCAAATAGCATTGCGGAACATTTCCCGTCTCGACATACGCGTTTCGAGAGGAATAAATAGATGTGATCGAGAAATTTCCTAAGAATATTTTTTGCCTATCATTGTTAATATACGAAATAATTCAATAGTCAATTATATATATATATATATATATATATATATATATATATATATATATATAAACTCTTTTCAATTTTACTATGTTTCTATAATAGTGTAGGAACAAACTGCCAGCAAGATTTATCTCGTTAAAAAACAGCAAATTTTTTAATAGCACATTTTTCACAGTTCTTATAATATAAATATGAGATGCACATATGAGATAAAAGGATAATAAATTACTGCGGAATGTTTAATCTATTCCTCGTTTAGAAAATTTTACACAATAGTGTTTATTATAAAATTCCCTCTGTGTGTAATCGAGCGACTCAATGAAATAATTACGGAAACGTTGACTCGAGCCTCAAATAGATCGCATCCGCACGGTTACGTTGTCAATTTTCCGTCGCAACTGTAAACTCTAGTCATACATCTTAATGAGCATGTTCGTTATTGCACTATCGCACTGTTACATTGACGTGTAACACGCGGTTGTTCGCGGTCAACATAACAGGAATGTAGCATTGATTCGCTATCGCGTATGCAAGTGGAACGTATGAATGTTATATGGAGAATCGCGTTGTTCTAACAGATCGGATGGCAATCGATGCGAACGAAATTGGCGAGCTCGATTCTAATCCTGAATGCGTATTGATTTAACGCTTCTTCTCGCGCCATTTGTTCCTTCCATCCTGTTAACGCAGCATGCGCTCCTGTATATGCATATGTGTGTGTGTGTGTGTGTGTGTGGTGTTTGAACGTCGCGAAAAATACGTAACCTAATACGAGACGAGAGCTCGTCTCCAAACATGCTCACGAAATTATACAGTCACAACACGTTGGTTTCTCTCACCAAGTCGACGTCAACGTGCAAACTCGGGAACGAGAAGAGAATCGCGCATCTCTATCTAAACCTCTAACTCCAATGGTTCCACGCGACGAAAATCAGAAATGGTGACGCTACTCGCTTGAAAATGTATCTCGCAAAAAGCGCAGAAAATTGACCACAAATGAGAGAAAAATGCGCGCCGCGACAATTCGCACGGTTGCATGTTACATCTGACGTCAATAATATAAAATAAATGTTTAAAAGACTCTGTGATTAAAAAATCAAAGTTGAAAAAAAAAGACCGATAAGAGCCAGGCACAAGGTTGTAGCGCGTAATAAATAAATTAATGTATTAATTTTTATTAAACGTTTCGGTCCCAATAATATAACTTTGCAAGAGACCGATCGGAGGACATGAGCTACACTGAGAGAAAAAATGTTTGATCTAACTAAAATTATAGTTTTTAACTCTAATCTTATTTTTTTTATTGTTTTTACACGAAAATAGTAGTAGTGGCATATATATAAAGTTATCACTAACATATATATAATATATAATACTATATAGTATATTTAGTAGAATTTAATTCGAAAAAATAGTTTTCTTGGCCATAATTTATAGTAATTATGTTTCTATGTGTATACGTGATTATAGTTACAAATACTAAAAATTTTCTTTTCTCAGTGTAGACACTTCGCGTCACGCGATCGCTCCGTCCATCGTACGACATTCCAGGGCGTCATAAATGCATTATTGAAAATGGCTCGGCCAACGGAGATCCTTATTTCACATAGCTCCTCGATTTAATTAACGCGGTCCTCGGCGCGTGAGCATCGCTCGCTCTTTTCTTACCCGTCGATGCATTCGACGGAGCACGTATTCCCGGCACGGTGCGGTGCACGTCGTCGCCACCGTCGCTGTCGCCGACCCACCGATGTTCTCCAAAACTCAATTAAAATTTCCAGTCGGAGGCCAGCGCCCTACTGGAGGGCGACGCCAGGGCGGGCATCGCCGGCCGAGCGAGGAATTTGAGGCACGACGTGCAGAGAAAGATCTCGAGGCTGCGCCAGGACCACGCGTCCTCGGAAGCTTTCCCGTGCAGCGCAAGCAGCGTCGAGAGCTTGCCGAGCGGAAGCGGCTCCAGCACGCAGGCATTGGTCCGCGCAGGAAGCAATCACAGCTCGATATCCTGCGAGGACCGGGACGCCATCAGCCCGACGTCCATCGGCCCTGTTCTCTGCAGGGCGAGAGCTCTGGTGGATTACACCCCCAGTCCGTACGACAAGGACGCGTTGAAGTTCAAGGTCCGTACCTCCGTAATAATTGATTTACGAGCGAAATTTCGCGGCAAACGACGTGCGTAAGTGCCTACATAACGATTTATCACGAATGGATTGTGCACAACAGTGTATGTGCGCGCGCGCGTATGTAATCGCTCGGTTATTCTCTGTTGGAATTCTTAATCGATGACTCGGGTCGAAATTCTAGTCGAAATTTACGCGTCGTTTCCCTCTCTCTCTCTCTCTCTCTCTCTCTCTCTCTCTCTCTCTCTCTCTCTCTCTCTGCTTTTTCT